TCCCCACCCCCAGGCAGCAGCCCCATCCAGCCCAGGCCCGGCCACACCACGGTGAGCGCGGGCGGCGTGCTCAACGACCAGCACTGGCACTACGTGCGCCTGGACCGCTACGGGCGCGATGCCAACCTCACCCTAGATGGCTACGTGCAGCGCTTCGTGCTCAACGGCGACTTCGAGCGGCTGAACCTGGACACGGAGGTGGGCGCAGGGGGCATGCGATCCTCTCTCCCCGGGGTTCCCCGGTGCTCGCCTGCAGGGCCCAGCTCTTTGCCCTCGCCTCTGCCCCCCACAACCACGGAGGTGGGGTCTGGAAGTACAGAAGTGGGGGAAATGGACCTCTCAGAGCCTCCCCAAGTTCTACGGAGCTGGCTCCAGCCCCCTATGCAGACAAGGAATGGTGCACAGGATGTTGACTGCTCAAGGCACAGCCAGCCTCGTGGTCTCCGGGCCAAACCCAGCCCGACCACTGCGAAATGAGGGTTTCAAGTCTTCCCTGCTCACCCCCACCCCGCAGATGTTCATCGGGGGGCTGGTGGGTGCCGCCCAGAAGAACCTCGCCTACCGGCACAACTTCCGTGGCTGCATTGAGAATGTGATCTTCAACCGGGTCAACATTGCTGACCTCGCTGTGCGGCGCCACTCTCGGATCACCTTCGAGGCCAGTGGGCGGAGTCCGGGGCCCCGGGAGGCGGAGAGCGGGAATGGGGGAAGGGGACTACGGGTGGGGCAAGGCCGCGCTCCCCTAGTGGTCGGTCCTGTCACCTCCTTGGTTGGCAGGTGGGAGCACACATGGAGCAAGGCAAGGACTGAGCGAACTGCGAACTGCGGTGTGTGCAGTTGCGCAGCGGCAGAGCAGGGACTCGAACCTGGGGCTTTTGCTGTCCTGACTCAGAGCGCATGCGCGGGACCCAACAGAAGCCGCACTAGGTGGAGCCAGGACAGTGTGGACCAGCAGTGGAGAGCGAGCAAGCAGGGCTGCTGGGCCTACTTGCTTAGGGCACCCAATTTGTGTGGGGGTTGAGATCGCACTAGGTAGCCCAGACTGCCCTGGACCGGATCCTCCCGCCTCAGCCTCCGGAGTGCTGACATGACAGTCATGCACCACCACGTGGCACCTGCAGCGAAGGGTCAGGGCTGGCGGATCCCTGTGCTCACGGAGCTGAGGGTCTCCACTTCCGCCACAGGGCAAGGTGGCCTTCCGGTGCCTGGACCCAGTCCCGCACCCCATCAACTTTGGAGGACCTCACAACTACGTGCAGATACCCGGCTTCCCGCGCCGAGGCCGCCTGGCCGTGTCCTTCCGCTTCCGCACCTGGGACCTCACAGGGCTGCTGCTGTTCTCAAGCCTGGGTGATGGGCTGGGCCACGTGGAGCTGATGCTGAGCGAGGGCCAGGTCAACGTGTCCATCGCACAGGCCGGCCGCAAGCGCCTGAAGTTCGCAGCTGGTGAGGCAGGTGGCGGGTGTGGCCTGGCCCGGGCTCTGTGCCTCCGCTTCCGACCTGATCCTGGCTCAGCTGTTGCCTGCCCTGCGCACCCCCTTGCCCAGGGTACCGCCTGAACGACGGCTTCTGGCACGAGGTCAATTTTGTGGCCCAGGAGAACCAGGCGGTCATCAGCATTGATGATGTGGCCGGAGCGGAAGTCCGGGTCTCCTACCCGCTGCTCATTCGCACGGGAACCTCGTACTTCTTCGGGGGTAGGTGGGAGCCAGACTCAGGCCTTGGGGTGGAGAGGACCCGGGCCCTGGCTGTGCTTCTGTTCCTGCTCCCTTTTCTCTTCCTGTCTGGCTCTGGGGGAGGCGGGTCCCTGGGTCCCTGGGGAGGGCCTCACCGGTGGTCACCACAGGTTGTCCCAAGCCAGTCAGCCGATGGGGCTGCCACTCCAACCAGACAGCCTTCCATGGCTGCATGGAGCTGCTCAAGGTGGATGGCCAGCTGGTCAACCTCACGCTGGTGGAGTTCCGGCGGCTGGGACACTTTGCTGAGGTCCTGTTCGACACCTGTGGCATCACTGACAGGTACCAGGTGCCTGCTCTCCAGCCAGCAGTGCCCCCAAAACCCCTCAGCCAGGGTCTCCCACCTCTGCCCACCCTGGAAAGATTCCTCCCTGACCTCCTGAGCCTTCCCGGAGCAGTATGTGCTCTGGATAGAAATGATGTATTGCTTTTTGCTCCTGTAGGGGTTTTCTCAGCAAGTGGTGGGGGTGGGATGAGGAATTTTCTGCCCTTTGTGGGGTCAGGGTCCAACAGAACCTGGCCCTGAGTGTCCAGTGCCCCTGCGTCTGTGTTCCTCCCTGGCTAGCAAGGCTGGGTGCCTGTCCCCAGGTCCTGGATCTGCAGGGAGTTAGAGCAAGGCCCTTACAACCCCTGTAAGACCCCTTCGCACTGTGTGGTGGTCCATGCCTGTCACCCCAGCACTTGAGAGGCTGAGGCAGGAGGATCACGAAGAGTTCCAGGCCAGCCTGGGATGCAGGACAAGAATTTGTCCTCCCTCCCCACAAATAAGAGCATTTCCTGGCACCGACCCTTCCCAGGTGCAGCCCCAACATGTGTGAGCATGATGGCCGCTGCTACCAGTCTTGGGATGACTTCATCTGCTACTGTGAGCTGACCGGCTACAAGGGCGAGACCTGCCACCAGCGTAAGCCAGGGTGTGTGTGTGGGGGGTCTTCCAGGGATGGGAACTCCGAACCCACAACCCCACTCCCACTGCAGCGCTGTATAAGGAATCCTGTGAGGCTTACCGGCTCAGTGGGAAAACCTCCGGCAACTTCACCATTGACCCCGACGGCAGTGGCCCCCTGAAGCCGTTCGTGGTGTACTGTGACATCCGGGGTGAGCAGCAGTGGGCAGTGGAGACAGTGGGGGCCGCACCTTAACTGTGGGGACAAGGTGGGCAGGCAGGGGTCCTGCAGGTCAATGCAGCTTGGACCCGTGCTTGCTGTCCCCAAGAGGACTGGGCTGGGGAGTCCCCGAGAGGCAGAAGCCGTGGGCGGGGAGGTGGTGCAGTCGCCCTGGCCCAGCCTGGGCCCTGTCCCCTGCCCAGAGAACCGCGCGTGGACAGTGGTGCGGCACGACAGGCTGTGGACGACGCGCGTGTCGGGCTCCAGTATGGAGCGGCCCTTCCTGGCGGCCGTGCAGTACTGGAACGCGTCGTGGGAGGAGGTCGGCGCGCTGGCTAACGCCTCGCAGCACTGCGAGCAGTGGATCGAATTCTCCTGCTACAACTCGCGGCTGCTCGCCCAGAGAACCGCGCGTGGACAGTGGTGCGGCACGACAGGCTGTGGACGACGCGCGTGTCGGGCTCCAGTATGGAGCGGCCCTTCCTGGCGGCCGTGCAGTACTGGAACGCGTCGTGGGAGGAGGTCGGCGCGCTGGCTAACGCCTCGCAGCACTGCGAGCAGTGGATCGAATTCTCCTGCTACAACTCGCGGCTGCTCTCACCCCGCCCTGCACTGCAACTGCGATGCCGACCAGCCGCAGTGGTGAGGTCTCGGGGGTGGGGGGACACTGGGGGTACGGAGCACACGGAGGTTGGGCCGAGCCTGGTCCCGCCCTGCAGGAGAACCGACAAGGGGCTGCTGACCTTCGTGGACCACCTGCCCGTCACCCAGGTGGTGGTGGGCGACACCAACCGCTCCAACTCTGAGGCCCAGTTCTTCCTGAGGCCTCTGCGCTGCTACGGGGACCGTGAGTGCCAGGCCCCTCCCCTGCCGGCCTCCCGCGGTGTCCCCGGCCCGGCCCAGCCCTCCCCCTGCCTGCCGCCAGCGCCTCCCTGCCCCGGCCTTGCAGGAAACTCCTGGAACACCATCTCCTTCCACACCGGGGCTGCGCTGCGCTTCCCCCCAATCCGCGCCAACCACAGCCTGGACGTGTCCTTCTACTTCCGGACCTCGGCGCCCTCGGGCGTCTTCCTGGAGAACCAGGCGGGCCTCTACGGCCAGTGGCGCCGGCCCTACCTGCGCGTGGAGCTCAACAGTGAGCTCGAGGGGACGGAGGGCTAGGGCTGGCTATGTGGCCTCAGGCGGTTGGGGGACTGTGGAGTCCGAGCCTCTGCCCGCCCCCCGTCCCTGTCGCCCGCCAGCATCCCGGGACGTGGTCTTCGCCTTCGACGTGGGGAACGGGGACGAGAACCTGACCGTCCACTCCGACGACTTCGAGTTTGATGACGACGAGTGGCACCTGGTGCGGGCCGAGATCAACGTGAAGCAGGCGCGGCTGCGCGTGGACCACCGGCCGTGGGTGGTGCGGCCCATGCCCCTGCAGACCTACCTGTGGCTGGAGTACGACCAGCCGCTCTACGTGGGTGAGCCTCCCCACGGTCCTGGTGCCCAGCACTGCGCCCTGGGCGCCGCTGGCCTCACCCTCGCCCTCCGATTTCCCGGTCAGGGTCGGCAGAGCTCAAGAGGCGCCCCTTCGTGGGCTGCCTGAGGGCCATGCGCCTGAACGGGGCGACGCTGAACCTGGAGGGCCGGGCCAACGCCTCCGAGGGGACGTCCCCCAACTGCACGGGCCGCTGTGCCCACCCGCACTTCCCCTGCTCCCACGGCGGCCGCTGCGTGGAGCGCTACAGCTACTACACGTGTGACTGCGACCTCACAGCTTTCGATGGGCCCTACTGCAACCACGGTCAGTGCTGCGGGGCGGG